GACAACATTGATACAAAAAAGAAACAAACAGAAAAGAGAAAAAATAGAAGGGAAAATACCAAACAATTAACAAAGAAAATTAAAAAAAATAGTTAAAAATTAAAGATGAAATTAATGAAGCCAAATAGCACAGACAATATGTTAAAATGCAGAGAAAAGTGAAAAGCCACAGCAATATCATATGTACAATCAAAACCTCCACAGAAAAAAATGTCCTGGTCTCAAAAAACACTTTGAATCACATTTCAACCCTGACTAGACTAAACTAAAGATACCTCAGTTATGTGCAATAAGGTAATTATGTATCTTTTAATACATGACTGACAAGGCAGATTTTTTACCACAGTAGGTTGCCATTTCTTTCTACAGTAGACCAGTTGACATCCAAGGCTATAGAATCCGGTCTGTCCTGCTATTTACCCATAGCTGGGGGGTGGGGAGAAGAAGAGGATTCATACCTTTCCCAAAGGTATTAGCACGTAAGTGAATGTAATGGATTCAACTGGAATTCAAACTCAGCTATCCAATTCCTCAATCCAAGCCACTATCCATTACTCCACCATGCCTACAGAAATAGAACATATACCAATATTCATCCAACCATTAAAAGTTAATCAATAATGAACCTACTGATGAGAAAATTAAAAAAGCTATTAAAAACCTAAGGAATGATAATGCATCACTCAGCACTGATGCTGAACTTTTGAGAATAGCTTATTTCCTCTTTGAATTCAATAACAAATTCCATTATTTTATGAAAGAAGTCTGAAATCAGGAATGAATCCCCCCAAAATATGGGTTTATCAACGCATTAATGCATTATGAAAACAGAAAAGTAGCACTCAAGACCCCAACACATTCAGAAATATCTCAGTAGAGATCTTGTAGAGGATTATTATTCAATGCAATGTTGAGGTTACCATCTGTAGAGGTACATTGGAATTAGCTACAATTTGTAGAGTGAATTCGGTTGTGTGTTCAAAGTAATATAAATCCTCAACACATTTAATTATTTCTTCAACGAATTACAGAGCAATGAACAAAATGAGAAATTACATAAAACAATATTACATAACAACAAACAAATTTTCATTTATATAGAATAAGAAATTATAATGATTTATGCTGGAATAAATTCAGATTTGTAAATGAAATCTGTGTAGTGTTTGTTTAAATCTTTGTATAAACTTTTTTGAGGTGTTTAAAATGTAGTTTGTGAGTTTAAGTGAAATATTGTATGTTGAAGTTGTTATGATGAAAAGTTCACAAAGTCAGTGAAAGTATTACTCTGTTTACGTTGAATTTAAACAGTTTTGTGCAATGTAAATCATGGTGAAAGTATTAATGAACATTATATTAACTAGGCTCTCATCATTTTATGAAAGTCAACTCCTTATAACCCAGTTTGGTTTTTTTTTTCTAGTAAGGGATATAATGATGGCATATACTTCAAACAATTTCAAGAAATTGCTTACCTCTCTAATAGAAAATTATATACCTGATTTGTTGACCTCACATCAAGAGAGATCTTCCTTTTCTCAGCTGTTAGAAACCGCCTTCCAATCTCTGAATCCACTGAACGCATCAGTCTAATAGAGGAACTATATCGACATGTCTGGTGAGAACCCCAATATGGAAACATTTCAGACCTCATCAGGAGAGCTCTAGTCTATTTAATCTCTTCCAAGACTATTCCCTGCACATTTACAAACACAGATGTGAGGCAATGGGCACTTACCATTTAAGCATTCTATACCACATCCCAAGCAAGTCTACCAATAGAAGACAATGATCCTGCTTTCCCTCCCAAGGTCAATGTGCTCAGGAAGAAGAATGGTATGCTGATGACATAGCTATTTGTAGTTGAAATCAGGATTCCTCTATCAAGTGTTCCAACAAATGGAACTCAAGGTAAAATTTTCCAAAACAGAAACTATGATCCAGAATTAGAATGAAAGCAGTGATGGCACTGATACCCTGAATCCATCATAAAAATTCTGGATGTGGATTTAGTAAATACAAAACACTTCAAATACCTCAGCATATGGATGAGTCATGTTCTTAAATAGCCTCATCAAATCAAGACTTTCATATGGATGTCTTGCATAATACCAAACTCATTCAGAAAAATCTAAATTGTCAGCTGTATACAACTGTTTCCTAAAATCAATGTTGAACAAGGGCTTTGAGTGAGTAAAGCCTGAGGGTCTTGGCAAAGACCATCCTTCTTTGAACATTGTAAACTGGTACCTATAGAATTCACAAAGAACTGTACTAAATAACAGAAACTACATCACTTGATGACTACCAACAGCAGCAACAACTAAAATGGATAGCACATGTAGTTTGAAGAGAAAATAATGACATAATCAAGATGTTAAAATTTCACACAAGTTCAAATTTTAGGAAGGAATCCCCCCCCCATCAATACTCAAAAGAACAACAACAGCTACTGAACTTAAGAAACATAAACTAAAAAAATGTTTTATGAGAAAGATTTTATAAATTTTAGCCAAAAACAGTACTGGCTGTTCCGTCTATGAATGCCAGGGAAACAGATAATATTACCATTACCATTTGCCTATGTCACATTTAGTCTGGTGCTTCTGCTATGTATTTAGAAATTCTTAATAAAATCTAGAGAGTATCTGTCTATATTTCTGGGATGAGGTATTATGTATACTATTTACATTATTCGGACTATTGTCCTCATCTTTGTCGCCATATTTATTACAACATTTCGGCTGTTGTATGCTCCAGCCTTCTCCAGGTGGTTGGAATGTCGAACTGAACCCTTTATTTCACTCACTGAGGTAGACTGTTCTAGTTTAGACACGGCAGGTGGAACTAGAACAGTCTACCCCAGTGAGCAAAATAAAAGGGTTCAGTTTGACATTCCAACCACCTGAAGGCCAGAGCATACAACAGCTGAAACAATGTAATAAATATAGCGACAAAGATGAGGACAATAGTCTGAATAATATAAATGGTAAGATCCAGAGAATAATCTGTAATGTTATCAGCCCTGACTTGATATCTCAGCTTCAATCACTTTACTGCCACCATAATGTAGCTTCCTTGTGCCGTTTCTATAAATATTTTCAGAGTTATTGCTCTGATGAGCTTTACTCTTTGGTATTTCAACTTTATGAATTTAAACATGGTATTAGATTGGCGATTAATTGGTTTTTTTTAAGCATTTCACCCCAAGCAAGGCGGGCGTGGACTAGCATGCAAGAGGTTACAGAGAGTGAAAGTAAGAGTAAAGAGGGAGGGGTGTTTGAGGAAAAGATAAAGAGAAGGAGAGGGATCAAAATCAAGGCATCAGAAGATGTTGATTGACATTACATTTAAATTTTTGAAAATTATAGTTATCAGGGAAGCAAGGAAGGGAGTTCTACTGTTGTGAAGTGCGAGAGAAAAAGCTGTTGGAGAAGAAAATCATTTTACAATTGAAATGGCTAGATGTAATAGTTTCTTCAGTTGCACATCTTGTTTGTAGAACTCTCTTCCACCCTCTTGCTTTCCAGTCAACTTTGATCTACAAAAATTAAATACAATGTCAATCATTATCTTAATTCCTGTTCATTAAAAGCTAAAAAAAGAAAAGCAATAAACCATAGAAACTTACTTGTTTTTGCGATATTCTTTTGTAATAAAAGTACCCAGTATAGTTCAGTGACAAATGTACTTTGGAATGAATTAACAGTTTCCAATAGAATTCTTATGATAAGAGATATTTGTACAAAGTTTGGTCATCCAGGTGTTTTTATATTAAAAATCCAAATATCCAACATCCAAACAATAATAAAATAAAAAATAAAATAAACATGGGTATGCCTGCTAAATAAATAATTTGTATTTAAAAACATATATACATGAATTCAAAAGAGTCAGTTTTTAGTTAAATTAAAGTCTTTGGGTGGTTGTTCCACAGAAAATCTGTGATTTAGAAAAAACTTTTAGGTAGTTGGTCCACAGTCAAAGATGTGGTTAAAAAAAAATTTTGGTCATCAGCAAATATTCACTAATCATTCATTCTGTTGTTGTTGCAGTTGATTTTATGCACTGGGAGTGGCAGAAGCTATGTAGCCACATCTTCTCTTGTGTTTGAACAGGTTGGTAACAGTCACATCTTAGCTGTTGAAAGTACAAATCTGTGGATTTTTATACAAAATTTTTCATGAAAAAAAAGGTTTGTGGAAAATAGGATTTTAGTTTTCTCTGGTCAAATATAAACCAAGTGTTGTATTGTGGAATCTTCTCAGCATGCTTGTAAATGTAGCAGTATTGACGGCCTAAATCAACCCATACATTTTTTACTTTATGAATATGTAAGCAAACAAAAAGCAACAAGAGAAAGAACGCAAAAAAAATAACTTGTTATAACAAGGAAGGACAATATATATATATTTTACGTCAAATGATACACATGAATAGTTAATAGGAGTTACTTCCCTTGGACTGAAACAAAAGTTTTAATAATGAAGAATTTTTTTATCTGAGCTCATAAAAGTTGAATGAAGTTGTCACTCAAAATGTTCAATTAGAAAGTTGAAGGAATTATAAAACTGAGAATATGTCGAGTAAACTTTTAGCTTCAGAAGGGTTGAATGAGTGAATGTTCCATAATGTTTGTAATGAAGTTTGAAAAGTTTCATAAAATTCAATAGTGTGATTGAACAGTTTTTAGTAAGTTCCAGAAGAAGTTTTGATATTTTAGTTTATTTTTGGAGTTCACCCCCCCACACACACACACACATACACTGCACATAATATTCAACTAATTTAAAATTAGTTATATTGGTTAAATTAAACATTATCTGTTACATTTTTTTTTATCCATATTAATTTTGTTTAATCTCCTAATGAGATCAAGCAAGTCATTTGCAAGTTGAAAAATAAGAGAGAATTAAACTCTGACAATGGTAACTGTTTACTAGTCAGCTACATGTTAAAATTGTTTCATTTACTTTATTTTTTTCCCGTAACAATGTAACATGGTTTGACTGCCCTGGGAAAAATCCTCTTGTGTATCATGTTTAATACAGCCAATGTTTTAGTTGTCTTTTCTGTTTACTCACAAATATAGAATCTTCTTTATTTAAGAGATTGTTATTTGTTCTTCAGTACCATGTCCCTTCATGGTGTGGGCGATTATGACTCTTCCCAATTTGTCTCTCTTTCGTCGCTCTAAGCAATGTTTATATTCTTACTATCCTAAGTAATTTGCATAATTTGGACTCATTCGTGTTACAACACAGCAGCCATTATTGGCATTGTTTGCATACATTTGCTGCTGATTAGATTTGTGCAGAAGATTACCTTGTTACCGGCCTTTTTACAGTTCTTACTTGACTCAATTACTGCGCAACTGAGGACTCATTGTGCGTGCAATCATCAAGATTATTCCACGCAAAATATATGCAAACTATGCTAGTAATGGTTGCCGCCATGCAAATCAGTTCGAACTTTTATTGTCGATAACTCCAAAACAGTAGATTTTATTAAAATTTCTTTGTTATTTTCGAATTAAGCATGTAAATTTACACCTAAATATAACTATTTGGGATATTTTTATTAGATATTTAGTGCAGGGCTTAAAAAGCAAATTACCCACTATCTTTCCCATGCAATTTACACAAGCTGCTTCTTTTACCTTCAATATGTCCAAAATTTATTGCATAAAATACAATTATGGCACAAGGTCCAAAGGGGGGAATGGGTTAAGGCTGGTCGTCACTCTAATCCATTCACTCATTACATTTTGAACATCCACCATAAGATCTCATCCATCAACACTCACTCCCTATATACCATAATACCGCATGCATTCAGGGAAAACTACAAAACACACCCCATGACATAAAAATTTCATGAGCATAAAATTCTATATATAAAATTCTATAAATGATATGCAGTGTGTGGGGGGCGGTGAACTCCAAAAATAAACTAAAATATCAAAACAAAATAACGATAACTGATGAGGTAGACCCGTCAAACCCTCAAAAGATTTAGGCCGCTGTATTCTGTAGCTTAGATGTGGCACAAGGCCGAAAGTATGGGGCACCTAGTGAGGATCGAACTCACTACTCAGTCGTAATTGTTCTAGCGAGACAAGCTTGCTAACCATTACACCGCCCTTTATCTTCAACATGTCCTGTGAGTGTCAAATTATCCAAGCCTTAAAAAATTAAATCAAAACTTTATTTTATCAAAACTTTATTTTATCAAAACTAATACAGGAAGTTGGTGACAGAGTTACCTACCTTGCGTTTCGTGTGTTGATTTTTTTTTCTTTTTGCGTGTGTGTCTGTATTTTGGCTTTTAAACAAGCTGACGTGACGTTTACAAAAAGGAAAAAAAAAAGAAAAACACGACTAGATTTTTTGTTTTCTTTCATTATCTCAGGTTAGTCTGATTTTCATTTGATTTATTGTCTTTTTAATTTTGATTAACTGACATTTTTTTTCCATTTTTACAATCGTGGTGTTTTGGTCTGTTTGTTAGTTAAACTGACGCAGAACAAGAAAACATTTTTTATCGTTTTTTATTACCTTAAACATCATTATTAGTTGAAACTTAATCAAATATTCCAATTATAATAGTTTTTCTCATATTGTGGAATAGAAGCAAAAACATTTAACATTTTATAAGTGGTGAAAAGAAAGAAAATAAACAAAACAATCCTAATTAATTTCGATCTTTTTATTTTACATGATGGACGTTTCTTTCCATAATTTACATTTTATTTACACAAATTCAAGAAAATTATAAAAGTTTCAAAAATTAAATTCTGTAGTTTAATGAAAACAAAACAGAATCAATAAACATTTTATTTCTTAAAATTATTTTGTAATGAAAATTAATTTTTTCACCAGTTTTATTTTTAGTTCTTTTTTTAATTTTGCATGAAATTGAAAATAATTTTCTTTTGTGTATTGTCATTAATGTCATATTGTGTTATCTTGAGATTTTGAAGAAAAATAGGTTTTTCGAAATGAACACTTTTTTACTATTTATTTTATTTTTATTTACTGTCCAATCCAAATCAATTTTGTAAACCTGGGATCGATTTTTGTTTTTTTTTTTCAAATATCTAGATTTTAAAATAGGAAAGACAATTTTTTAATTGTAGTTTAAAAATGTAACAAAAAAACCAGTTTCAAAGCCATAAAGTTTCTAAGAACTCTTTATTTAATTTAATTAATTATCTGAAGTGGGATTTTGATCACAAGACAACCCAAAATAGGAAACATGTCGAAAACAAAAACTTCACTCCAAGTTGTTTTTTTTTTTTTTAATACACAAATAAATAAAGTATGTCAGTCAGGTTTCTCTATCGTTTTAAAGTTTAAAACGATAGAGAAATTTAAAGAATTCAAAAGTAATTTCAGCACTGAATCAAGATAAACAAAAAAAAAAAAAAACTTAATTTTTCAAACCCCCCCAAAATTGAAATAACAGTCAATGAATGATTTTTTTTTAAATAATAAATATAAATTTCTTTTATTTGAAAAAAAAAAAAAAAAAAAAAAAAATCTCATGATTTTGTAAAAAGTAGATTACGGTTCGGGTTGTGGTTCAAATATGGAAATTAAAAAAAAGCATTTTAAAATTTTTAAAGTTTAAAACACACCCAAGTAAAAAAAATTAAGCAGGCTTATGCTTGCAAAATAAAAAATGATGATGGAATTCATTGCCAGTCATTTTTAATGAATGAAATATCTCTAATCAATCAATTTATAATTGATTTGTCCAAGAAGACAAATTTTGTTGCTCTTTTTTACTACTTAACTATTTTTTTTAAGTTTTTATTCTTTGTGGAATATTCTTCCTTCAGCAAAAATTTGAGCAGATTTGAATTGTTTTCTCCCCTGAGTCCTAAAAAAAGTGAGAATAATTATTATAAAAAGCGCCTTTTTTTAAGTTTGGCTTATCTACAAATTTGGAGGCTATTTAAAATTTTAAATAAATATAAATAACTACAAATATTCAATGTTTTATAACAGATGAGCTTAGCTTTTCCATTAAGAAATATTTAAACACCAAATATGAAATGAATTCTAAAGCAAATTCAATCATCAAAATTTCCTTTCCATTTTTTTCAATTTTATAAATAAAATGTATTAATCCGAGTGCTACACAATTCATATATAAATGGTTAACCATCCTCTAAGCGAAATCATTGTAAAGATGACTTCCTATTTGTTATTTCTAAATGAGTCTCAAACAACTCAACTCAATCAAGATAATCGCCTTGGTCTCAATACGAAAACGCCATTCTCATAAAACTTCTGACCTAGTAATCTAGTTGTTTATGCTTTAGAATTTAAAGCATATGATTAACAACTAGCTTTACTAGTTCAGAAAAATTATCTTTCACTTCCGTCATTAATTTTATTTGACAAATTGCATAGAAGATTTAATAATAATTTTAAAAAATACAATTTACCAACAAGTTCAGTGCATACAAACTAAGCCTTGACCAACATAATTTTGGTGAGATGCAGACAGAATGCACTTTGTGTGTAAACATCACATTATTAGATGTGTGTATGAATGCAGTCTCCATAACTTCTAATTTTAGGTAGAAATACAGCATGGCTAGTTTAACAATTATTTACAGTTAATTAATTAATAACGTGTTTAGTTTACTGGTCAAAATATTTAAACAAATATTAAATTTTTGTACACTATTTTTACATTATTCGGACTATTGTCCTCATCTTTGTCACCATAATGTTTCGGCCGTTGTATGCTTCGGTCTTCTTCAGGTGGTTGGAATGTTGAACTTAACCCTTTATTTCATTCACTGGATAGACTGTTCTAGTTCCACGTGCCATGTTTAATGAATGTCAGTTATCAGTTATCTCCTGTTAATTCCCCTCTCCAAGTTCTCCACTGTCTTTATCGGATATTGAACTCACAATCTTTTGGGTCCTGTCACTGGATCTAACCAACGCCTTTATCCACTGTGCCATGTGTAAATATGGTGACAAAGATGAAGCCAGTAGTCTAAAGTGTACATAATACCTCATCTCAAAAATATAGATATTTAAATTTTTAGCAGTGTTTAACCTTTGAACCTGTAAAAATATGATGTGTCAAAAGGAAGTTTTTTTGTTTGTTTTTTTTCCTGTTGACACTGCTATACTATCTCAACTCCCTCAGCAAAATTGATTGTTTTAAAACACTGTTTAAAATTTTAATAATAAAAAAAGTGTTATTGTTACACACTATTTAGTTGTTAGATTGTTTATTTATAAGGTTACAAAATAGCGGGTTTTGTTATTAACTGTCTTTAAGATATTCTCATCAGAAGAAATTAAGTGGTATTCAATCTGGTGGATATGGTGAGTATTTAACACTATTTCTGTGCCTAATTCATTTGTTGAGATGTTAAAGAACTGACATCACAATGAAAATAGGGAGGTGTTCCATCCTTTTTCAAAATAAAGCTAAAGTATTTATTAAAAAAAATACATCAAAACCTATTCACTCTCATGATTATATATAAATAATGATACTGCAAATATAAAAGCATATGCAGCCAGTAAGCAGATGAACACACACACATATATATATATATATATATATATATATATATATATATATATATATAATGACATCTGATGCATGCTTTTAGCATCTTCATTCAACAGCCAACAAGAAAAATGCAGATCAGACCTGAAATAACATTTTCAAAATAAAATCACACATTGAGGGATTAAACAGGGATTTGGGTTTACTCAGAGAATATAATTCCAACAGGGATCCTTCTAACCAATAACAAAAACACTCCTTGGAAGAGTGAATCTTCTTTGTTTATTTCTCATCTCATTGAAAAAGGACACATGCATGTCGGAAAATTCCTACTTTAAAATCTTGTGCTTCAATTTAGTCAAAAGGCTAATATATAATAAATATTATCAATCTTATTTCCAATATTGTTATCATTATGTTGTTATTTTTTATTCCTCAAGTTATATTAACCAGCCTATTAAATCTACATATATACATACATACAATGCAATGCAGTTGTGTCTCTATGGGTCCTGTCCTTGGGCCAACATTTAGCAATTTTTACATGACTAATTTATAAAATAACGTACGCAATACCACAAAAAAAATCCATTTACTTAAGATATGTAGTTGACATTCTCATTTTAGTCAAAGACATAGACAAAATACATGAACTATAAGAGAACTTTAAAAAAAAAACCTCTGTACTTCAGTTCATATATGAACTTAACAAAGACAAAAAATCCTGTTCCTCAATGTATTGATAGACAGTAGGAATAATAATACATTTACTACGTCTCCTTATAAAAACCAACTAGTATAAACATATGTACTTTCAACTACAAAAGTGAATGTCTTAACTATTACAAAATAACTATTATGCAAAACTTAATAAACCATGCAAAATCAAAGTCTTCAACTAAAAAAGATTTTCTTCACTGATTTAAAAAATATTAAACAAACCCTTATTAATAATGGTTTCCCTAATTACATTGTTGAGGAACGAATTAGACAAGCTATTAGGAATATTAACATAAATAAAAATACAATACATCATCAAATAACTCTAAACATATCAAATTACTATATTGTAATCAAATGCATTCCAACTATAAACAGGAGGAAAAAATTCTAAAAATGCTCAAACACTAATATATCCCCCACTGATCCAAGTAAAAAAATATAGAATTAATCATATACTATACTAAATTTAATACAACCAACCTAGTTGTCCAAAACAACTCTTCTCTGCCAACTAGCACCTTGCAAAAGGCCAACATTGTATAACAATTTAAATGTCCTCTAGGAGATTGTATCTCTGATAAAAATGTCAATACGTACGTTGGCTTTACTATGACGATGCTAGCAAAAAGACTTGCATTTCATTTGGCTGAACATATCTCAATACATCAGCACTTAAAGGAATACTCATGCCCACACTCACAGATTAGACGAATATTAGTTGAAAATACATATATATTACATAAAAACAATAACAAACAAAATCTAAAAATCATTCAAGCCCTTTATATAAGATAATTAAAGCCCCAAATAAATAAAGTCACCTATGAGTATAGCAACAAAGTCCTTAAATGCTTACGGAAAAAAAAAATATATGTATGAACAAAAAAGTTACTCCCCTTACACTGGAAAAAAAAACAAATGAACATGTGAACTTTAAACTTTGAAATCTAGAATGCTGCATAAGCAGTAAAAAACGAACATTTGAAATGTCTTAAATTTGCAGAAACACATAAACATATTCATAGACAACTTAAGCCCCTGAAGATGGTCTCAGATGAGATTGAAAGTACTTGGGAAAATAAAAACTATTCAAAAGAAAATTTTGGTATTTTTCTTACTCAATTTTCTAAATCTACCAAAAAATTAAACTGCAAACTTGAACAGATCACAACAAAAACTAATTGACATGATATGTCTAAATTATTTAACCAAACCTGTTTGAATACATATATATTTCACTTCTTCCATAACTTAGTTTCATATGCTCACATTTTTTTCTGGGCAGCTGCACAGATGTCAGGCAGAGGATGGTGGAAAAAAGAGGTTATTCCTATTGGGAACATATCACTAAGATGTGCTACTTAAGAGGTTCACCTGTATGTAGTGAAGAAGAAAAGCAGGTGAATAAAGGCTTTCAAATTATTCCACACCAATGTTCCTAATTAAAAATTTATTTTTATACCTGCATTGATTCTTACCTCCTGTTTAGCATTTTGCTATCAACCATGCTCTGTTTTTCTTGAGATACACAAATTACATTTACTTCCTTTACTGCTAAATACATACACAGTACTTAAAATTTTTCACTCAACAATGGGATCTGACATGCTTGCTTCTTTTATCTTCGAATAGTATATGGACAACGTTATGCCATTTTTATACTTTTCATTGTCTATACTTAGCTTATAATTGTAAAATCTCTGTTTCCATTCTTCCTCTGCAGTTTCAATGTAAAATTATTTGTTGTCCTTGCTACAGATTATGGCCTTGTAAACTACATTTTTTGTTAAACATTTGTCCCTAAGTGGATGGTCTTATTTGCTTTTGCAGTTGCATGTCCTAGCATTATTGATTGTATTATTAATTGATTTCAAATATTTCATTGTTGTGACTGCTGAAAATTTTTTTTAGCAGTTTGTTGCCAGAAAAATGCTTATTTGGTAGTTAAAGGAATATTTTTGTGATATTAGTTGTTACTGCATGATTGAAAGGGAAATTGAACCAAATTATTCTCTTATTTTTTTATTATTATTTTAACTTTTATTTACTCTGCAGTAGCTTATGCTGTTATGATGGCCATGTTCAGCCAATGCCTACTGGTAATTGGACTTGGCTTCATCAAACACCTTTTCACTGGCAGAATTCATTGATAAGAGTGCTTCTGCTGATTTAAGTATATGCCATAGTATAACCAGTGGGTGGTTGGAATCTTTTTGCTTATATATATATATATATATATAATTTAGCGCTTGAAAATATATTTTCAACTGAGCACTGTTGAATGACAAGCTAACTCTAAAAACAACGATCACCTGCGTAAATGCAAAGCTCTTCAGTAAAATGAATAGAGCACTATGGCTGCTTGGTGTTTGTTTACGTTTGTAAAAACAATATGCTACATTTGGCTGACTCGTTCTGTCGGGTGAAGATGGCTCAGTGGTAGAAGCTCAGACTGACACCAAATTGGCAGGGCTTGAGACATTCAGTTGTCTAGTCGCACTGAGGAGCTGTGATACAGCAAAACAGTACTGTCTGCGAATGACATATATATATATATATATATATATATATATATATAATAAAATATAGTTTTAAAGTATGCTATATTTATGGGTTAAAGTGCCCAGAGGTGACAGTGTTTTATGTTAATGTAATCATGGCCTGATGATTGTGTTTAGCATAAAACAAACTGTCACCTCTGGGTGTTGACGTCAATGTCCACTTTTATATTTACACATACACGCACACAAACAAAAATAATGGATTCAAAGTACTTAGAAAATATACATTCAGCTTTTTACTTTGAAATAAATAAACAAATCAGATATGACTCAAAACAATTTTTGTTCAATAGCTAAATATTGTGGCTTTATGTAATATTCCTCAAACAAATTAGATTTAATGATTTGAATTAATGGCATTTTTCTGGATCAACTGATTTCATATTTTACATGTATGCTTTTCTTAAATCTTTCAAATGATTATTTGAGATGAAACAGATCAATTATAAATGGAAAAAGCCATGATAAATTTGGATCATAAAAAAGATGAAAAATCTATTCCTAAAGTATTCCTCTTTAAAAATGATGCAACTTCTGATAGAGCAGCTGTTCTCAACCAGAGGGGAATTTTAAGGTTTCAGTGGAGAATAAGTCCCACAAATTAGTAGATCCAAACTTAAGATATTGATCTTTTTACAAACTACAATGTATATTTTGAGTCAGGTAATCTTGGAAGGAGAAAATAACATTCTGATATATCATGAAAAGGGTGCATGGTCTAAAAAAACTTAGAATGCTTGATTGCATTCTTGTTAATCACAGTGAAGAGAAAATAATTTAATTGATCTTATTTTCTATATTATTATTTGATTTCTATAATATTGAGGAGATTTAAAATGTTTCCAAAAGTTTTTTTAAGCTCTGTTATGAGATAAAATAAAAAATTAAATATTCATTTCTGTTCATTAGTTAATGTTGTCTATTATTAAGCATATGCAAAAGTCTCCAGCAAAAAAATTGATTTGCATTTGTGTATTTAGTCTATAGCTTTTTAAAAAAAATATGAACACTGAGAACTTTTGAACACACCTAATGTTCATGTGATTGTCTTCAAACATTCTGTATCTGATTCCATCACACAAAGATTTTTCTGAAATTTTGCACTAATTATAGATAAAAAAATTATTTACAGCTGTAGTTTTGAGATGAGATGTGGCCTTTTAATGTTTTTTTTTTTTTTTTTAAACATGTAGCCTTTTAATATATTTTAAAAAGTCTTTTAATATTTTTTTTATATAATGTTATATTATTCTTTGACTTTGAATCATCAAGAATTCTTTGATGTATGTAATTATTTTTAGTTTATTTGTTTATCATTTTTGCAGAAATGTTTGAAACATAAAGTTTGATGAAAACATTCACAGAAATGGTGCTACTTTGGCATCTGCCTCCAACGTGCCCCATATCTTTTAGACTGGCCTTGGAAATAACTGTTAAAGTATAAAACATTTGCTAGGAAATCAATCTGCACTCACTGAAAAGTAAAAAAGAAGACAACTTGTTCTAGAAAGAATGAGGATGTTGATGAATTCTAGTCATTTGTCTGATAAACTGTTCAGCCACCATTTGCACAATAAAACACAGTATGTTTCATTATTCACTGACTTTTGGCTTGAAAGACGACGGTAAGTGGAAATATTTATTTTAAAATAAATCATATTTAAATACGAAAAAATTGATGACATGAAAGTTTTGGTGTTTTAACCAATAATCTTTTCAAATGATTTCTTATTTTTCTGATTGTCTAATAACTTTTCTTGAATAATTAAACTTTGTCATAGCAAAGTATAATTTTCCAGAAGTTTTTCATTTTCTGTAAAATGTCTGCATTGTATCCTTCTTTACAGAATATTCAAATTATATAAACTTGAGAATGAAACTTCATTCATTTGCATATTTTTTCTTTCATAAACTAAAAAGGTTGAATAAAGAAAGGCTTGAAGCAGTAACACATGCTAAATATTCAGTTAAGTGCTTAATTTTCTCTACAAAACTGAAGGGTTTTGTCACTTGCTCAACCAATGTTCATTCTGGAAGCTGATGATTTAGGATTTGCTATAATAGCTTTCTGTATTATTTCTTTTCTTTTTTCATAAAATTTAAATATATTTGTAATAATTTTTTAATTACATAGTCAATGAAAAAATGTTTTGATGTTGACTAAAGACAAAAAAAAATAAATATTTATTTTACTGTTTATTGTTTATACAAAATTAACTGGTTTCTAGTCCTCAAAATATTTTTTACTTTTAAATTATTTTAATAAATATCCCATTTTTATTGATTTATTTTTATTTTCATTATCAGCAATATAGGATTTGTAAGAATCTTGATAACAATAAAAGTTAATGATTAGCTCTAAAGCTGTTATAACCTAGGCTGTGTTAGATAACCTTGCTATTGATTTAATAAAAATTAATTTTTCTAGTTTGTGGTTTTTACTTAGTAATTGAAGTATATTTTCTCAGGTGAACATTTATTAAGCTCTTGTAACTATGAAATTACAAAGTCAAAAAGAAAATGATCCTAGTTTATCAAATGATATCCAAGAGAAATCAAATTTTAATTTTTAATATTTTAGCAAAACCAAAAATAGTTATTCTATTAAGTTGCATCAAAAGTAGTTTAGTTTTTTTAATCAGATTTTCATTGTACAATGAAAATTAAGCTGATGTAATTCTTTTTCATTTGGTATCTTTTCATGATTCTAGTTCTTCTGAAAATTTTCAAGTGCTGATGGTTAGTTTCTCCTTGATGTTGCATTTTAAAGTATCCTAATCAACAACTGGTGATCATACATTTCTGTCACTACCTTTTAACATACTTCAACTACATTATACCTCATCTCAGAAATATAGACATACTTCAACTAGTTTGGAGAAATACAGTCAGATATTGTTTCATTTCCTTCCATTTTCCAAATTCTGTGAGCAACTTCAAACCTAATTCAAAATAAGGCCACAACATTTCCAGAATTTCAAAACTTATCTGCCATTATAACATCAGAAGCAAAAGGTACAACTGAATAGTATTGATAATGATGATGATTTTAATAATAATAAAATCATCATCATTATCAATGCTACTCAGTTATACTGTTTGTTTCTGATGTTATAATGGCAACAAAAACATATAACATGTTTACTTACATTATTTACATTATTCAGAGTGTTATCCTCATCTTCATTGCCATATTCACAAAGTTTCTTCCGTTGTATGCTCTGGCCTTCTTCAGGGGATTGGAATTTCAAACCAAAACCTTTATTTCATCCACTGGGGTAGATTGTTCTAGTTCCACATGACTAGCCCCTTCTGGATTTCTCAGTTATGAATATGGCAATGAAGATAAGGATAACAGTCTGAATAACATAAATAATGTAAGTAACCATAATACCTCATCTAATAAAGATATCTGTCTGAATTTCTGAGATGAGGAATTACCGTTATTTACATGCAGGCTATTTTTATTATCACATTTTGGCCGTTGTGTCCTCTGGCCTTCATCAGGTGCTTATCAATCCAGTCAACCTTCTGGAGTTAGATTGTTTTCATTCTGCTGACCATGTCTAGGGATATCTCCTTTAGTTTTTATTTAGTTCTGCTCACTTATTGCTCAGCCTGTTTCCAAATACACACTTGCCAAGAATGGATTGAACTCCTAATTACTATAACACCAAATTCACAAAGCAACACTTTAATCCACTATACTATGATCAGTGGAACAAGAACAATCTATCCCTGTAGATTTAATAAAGGGTTCACTTTGAAATTCCCTGATGATTACCTGGATCAACAAACACATAATGAAGGCCAAAATGGCACAACAGCCAAAACATTGCGATAACAAAAACAAAGATGAGGACAATAGTTTGCATGTAAATAATGTAAATAAAACAAAAATATTTCTGACACACCCTAAAGTGAAGTGTGCTGAAAAGTTCTCAGCTCATCCCACTTCCAAAATATTAGTTTGTTTTAATCCTTTCTTTGTTGAGCCAAGAACTGTTCAGCACCCCTTCATATAGAAAAATAATAATAGTAATAATATGGTGGATTTATAGTTAATCTTCAGATGTATATATGACATAAACTGCAAAAATGCCCTAATATTTGTAATTGAAAATGTTTCCCCAGGCAAAATTAGTTAATGATAATAATTTACTTTTTACTCCTCACATTCCTTTTATATACATTTTTATGTATCAAAAAGGTTTTTTTTTTTTCATTATTTTTAATTGAAAATTTATAAAACACTTGACATTATTACAGCTATATGAATCATTTAAAAAAAATGCATGCACAGGATTGGTCCAATGACATTTGAAAACAGAAAATGTCAAATATTTTTTAATGATAATAAAAGAGTTAAAATTACAATTTATATAAGATGCCTTGAATTGTCAGAACACCAAAGTTTCTCTATATTTTCAAATTATTATTATTATTTAGAATTTGTATTAATTTCATCTCGAATTAGAAACCTTTCCTGAAAGAATCATAAACGTTTTTTTTTCTAAATTTCATTTTCACAGATCTCAAGATGCCATTTGGTCTTTCCTTTGCATAATCTTTTTAATGGTGCTTATGTTGGGCATCATATGGTATTATGGTTTGTTTAACCGCAAAACAAAAAAATATATATCTGTGCATGAGGACACCTGTCACTATACAACTGTCAACAGTAAGGATTACATTTTGTACTGTTATTTTCTTTAAACTGTTTTGTTCTTTGTTTAAAAACATGTTGCAATATGTCAATGCCATAATGTCTGAGAGGGAAATTAGATAAAACATTATAAAGATACTGGCTAATATAACCACAAGTTAACTGACTGCTTCACCATGGAGCATAGCAAGTTCAATCCTTACTGGATGCTACATCTTTGTAACCCTGTTCCAGACTAAGCTACCCTTAGAAAATTTGGGCATCTTGCCATGAAATAATGGTTATCAAGCTATTTGTCATTACAGCTACTGTCAGTCAATCTTACTGAGTGCTCTGTAATTGCAACCTTGTACCAAACTAAGCTTAATAAATACTTGAACACCTCACCATAAATTTAATCTCACATACCATTACTGCAATAGTGCATTTTGTTCTGAATGCCCCTTGCTTGTAGTATTATGCTTTATTAAGCTAAGTTTAGTAAATATTTATACAGCCACCAATTTTCCACACTCCATAAGATCTAATTTGATTTTAACAAAAATCCCTTATGGATATACATTGAGCATATTCAGTATCAAGTACAACAAATAGATTAGTTAAATATTTTCACAGATTCTTTTATTAATACATTTATTCTTTTAAATAAAAATTTTAAATATTATAAAGATTCTGTTAAATTTGCAGTTTTCCAAATATGTCTAACGTCAAAAAATTACTAGTATTGTTATAAAAAAATTTGGAAATAAAATTTATATGCCATTATTTTTCATGTTTGAAAGATAAAATTAGAAAATAAATTTTCAGAAAACATTTATAATCTTAGATATATGCATTTGAGTGTTTTTTTTTGTTTGTTTTTTTTTTTTTAGATTAATTATTTTCACTATGATTATTTTATTACTAATTTTATTCCATGTTAGTTTTGTTATTTTGTTTTTATGTTAACTGAAGATGTTTTCTAATGTTCATAACAACAGAAGAATTCATGCGGTAAATATATAGAATTGTTTAACAAGTGAACTTATGTCTTCTAAAGCATTTCAGTAACCTGTATAAAACAAATAATAAAGGAAGAATGGTATTGGATTGCTGTAAATCCTTAAAACAAAAGACTCTTCTAAATCATAACTTCAATTATTAAACAATAAATTAAAATGAATTTCTTTATTTTAAACATAATATTTAAGCTATATAGATGAGGAAAAGATAACATACAAAAATAGCTTCAAATAAAATAAGATCCCACTTTGAGTCAGTTTTTTCAGTCAGTTTTTGTTTGTTTATTGGTTTTTTGTCATGTAGAAGTGGGAACTTCAAATTCACCAATACAAAATGGGCTCTTCAGTGCTGTAATATCAGCACTAAAGTTTCATTGCCATAAAACAAAATATGAAGAGTTTTCGAAAAATGTCAAAAAATCAATGTAATTTTGTTTAATGTATACATACATATATAAGTTATTCATACATAAATAACCCTGTAAATTTTTTTTTTTTTTTTTAGGAATACTATGCTAGTTTAGTGACTGTATCAATAAAATGACTACATCCTGGTATATTTTCATGCTTTCATACATCAGAACATCTACTATTTACTAAAACAAACAAGTATTCTAGTTCTCTATTTACTTCTGTTTTATATTTGTCACTGGCTTGGCTCTGCTTCTGGCCAGGTCATTAAAAAAACATGTTGCCTAGAGATCTGTCTCTCAGAGAACAGCTGCCCATTGCAAGAGATGGGGTTGGGGATACGCACTAATATTAACTGCAGCAAAGAACAAGGCCCCAGATATTTTTTGTCAATTCTCCACATCATAAAAAATATCTTATGTCATATTTTTCATTCTTAGATATGTAATATAAATATTTTTATCTTTATTATTGAATAAGTAGTTTCAGCAAAAAAATTATTAAAAAGGTTAATGTCATTTTTGATTATTACTATCTGAGCAAATTATAATTTGCTTTGTGACATTAAAAAAAATGATTTTTCCTCACTTATGTATTTTTTTTTTCTCTATGGTTTAAAAATTTTTTTTTTCTCTTTGTAGAATTGATTCAAGCAAAAGCCAAACTTCTTCCAATGTTTCACAAGAAAAAAAGAAAGTCAAAGAAAATTATTGAGGACAGTGATGTGTCAGTTGATACAGACTATGAAGATTTCTGAAGTAAACAAACTCGGATAGTGCTTGCACAATTAGGGGAAAAAAGTTCTATATCAACAACGTCATACTGGAAAATGTATCACTAAAAAAAAACTTAGCTTATGTTAAAGAATGAATGAGAAAATTGAACAGCATAATTCCAGTATGTGAAAGGGTCTACCATCATTTTTTGTTTTAATTTCTGAGAAGAATTGTGTCCCAGAATAGATTAAAAAATTCACTAATACTACAATTCTTATGTTACATTCCATTCTCCCACAATATGCCAACTGAATTTAATCTTTACAGATAAAACCATTGCCAAAATACATTCATGTTAGTTTAAGTTGTATATTTGTACATATATTTTTCTATTGGAATTCTATAAAAGCATTTTTAAATAATATAAATACAATCACAACTCTACATATTCTATTCTTATAAGATATATATATACACTTTTGAAATTGTGTGTAGTATACACACTATTCTAAAGTACACCTCAGTGCATGCATACAAACATTGCTTTTTACTGATGTTATACAATGAAAGAAACCGGAGATGAATTTTCCTGATTGTCTCAGTTTTACAATTTGCATGCTATGTTAAACAGATTTTTTTTTCTCGTGGAATAAATTAATGACTTCTGTTCAGAACAAGTGGTGAGCATCATGAATGAAAAAAACAATCAACTTCCACTGATATGAATACATTCATATCTCTGTAAAATTCAGTATATCAAAATAATATAAATCTTTATTTTTGAAACAAGTGTTGTCAGTTCTCTGGTAAAAACATCAGTTTTCTGGCTGATATTATTTTTAAAATGATTGGTTTATATTCAATTTAAGGAGGAGTTATCTGGAACATGCACAAACCTGATTTACCCATAATTAATTACAGACAGTACATCTTTATACATGTGATATCTTGTAGATCCAACAAGTATGCGTACCAAGTCAACTACATTACAATTCTAATATCATTTTAGAATTTATTTGGATCACTACCTCCATTGACTGTAGCCACTATTTGTCATTTCTTTACCAATTATTATTATATTTTTTTGGTTTGTATTTAAACATAATGGTGCTTCATAAAATTATTTTCAAATTTCCATGTCTTTTTGAATACTTTTTATTTACTTCAATACTCAGTAACATTTTAATAAAAATCAGTTTTTTTCTTATTCAAAATTTCAGCACAAAAATCATCTAATAATATTTAACTGTCATAAAAATAACTTGAGATATTTTTTACTTATTTACTTATACAACTGCCATGTTTACTTAACAATTATATATGGAATAAGAAAATGAATTGAAATTTGGAAAAGCTTAATATCACAGTTACACTTTTGTTTAAAATATATTTTGTATAGTTTTCATTTGTAACTTTTTGCTGTACTAGTATTATACCCTTTGTACTTGTGACACAAGGTGGTATTGTCTTTGTTATGACATTGGCAAACTTAAGATGTTTATGAAGTTGGAAGGTGAAACAATCAATTACATGAAAGAGCATAATAATAATTGAAAAAAATTATTAAAAGATTCACATCTGAAAACCTAATATTAACCACTTAACAAATATCAATTTCATATATGTGACCATTTTTAACTTGTATTCTAAGACTAACAAACTAAAAGTGATAGCAGCCATGAATTAGTCTGGGACTAATCCAGATACAATCCTGTTTTCTCTAAAAACTCTAACTGAACTGAGAATTAATTATCTAAATCTGTTGATCTATTATTAAATTGATTAATAGAAATTCCTAAAAAGAAAAAATAGTGTTGTTGAAGTTATTGAGTTGATAACTAAGTTCTTGTTGATCAGCATGGGAATGACTGCAGAACACTTGCTCCTCCTTTTTATTGGCAAAAAGCACACAAATGCATGCTGGGATTCTTTTTCTTAACCAATAAAATAGGCCAGTTTTCAGTTTGACATGACTCATTCCCAATCTGCCGTGTCTAGAAGACAGAACACTACATTCGCTTGTCTGAACTTGCTTTAGTGTCAACCAATTCTTAATTTGCCTTGCATTATTGTTTGCTTGCTTGCCTGATATTATTTCATTTTTGCCCCTTTTTTTTCTTTTTATTGCAAACTTTGTTAATTCTGTTTGTTGGACAGTTCTGTTCTTTATTCTGTATTTGACCATGGCTACTCACTCCACAGTTCTTAAGCAATTAACTCAATCTGTAGAAATTAGTCAGGTGTGTGCAAAAGTTTCTAGGTAAAATCTAGTTTTCCAAAAAGCATGCTGGGAACTTCTTTTTTTTTTCCACCCACCTAATATATCAAATGACTTAAAAGTCAGTTGAACTAGAGAAAACTTTTCAAATTCAAGAAAAACTCTTTCTAGGTATTTCTAAAATATATTTCAATGAACTTTATGATAATCCAATCAAAATTTTGTTCTACAGATTGCAAGCAGAATCAATCAGCAAATATTTAAAGACTGAAATAGTAAAAATCAACTCTCAACTGAACATTACAATTGTTATTTCTCTAATAAAAATAAGAAAAAATGGATTTATTGAACTGTTGAAAGGATTACTTAAATTGTGATGGATAAAAAGTTGGAAGTATATAAGTGATATTTTAAAAGTAATGCCTCCTATTTCTTTCCATGGAAACATTTTTTTATCATTTCACCTAAAGCAAGGTGAAAAAAAAAGCATCAGATTGGAGGATGAACAACACAAATGGATACAGTGAGTTTTCAGCTATAAAACATAGTTTATCATCATTGATTATGTATTTTGAAGTGTTCTGTTTCATGATTTGACAGCTGTACAGCACTTCCAAGAAAGTTGCTTGTCATGAATATCCTGAAATGAATGACCCACCACTTAAATATGCTCTCATTGATTAGTTTCTGTAAATATTCAGTAAGTGTGAATAACCAAGTGTTAATTTTTCTGCATGAAACACCATATATACTCAAGTGTAGTGAGAGTTTTTATGATCAGTTTAGACAAAAAAATAGGGGGTTGCACTATACACAGGTAATTCTTTTGAAGAGGTCAAAAAAACATGCAATTTCGGTGACTGTTTGCTCTATACACAGGTAATTTATTTTTTGGTGAGGTTAAAATTTATGCTTTTTCAGGCATGGATGAAAACGAACATACACTGTCTAAATCTTTGTATCAGATATTTTACAGTAAGTGATTTATCTCACCATTTTGAGGTATAGCTCTGTACAAAAAAGAAAAAATGAAGACAATTTATTTGCTATATGTCCAGGATGATGCTCAGTACTGTAATATTTTACTACAATAGGTCTATTAGAACTGCTCAGATAAGCTATATGAAAAAATCGGGTTTTTTCAAAAGAAATTCAGAGGTCACACTATGCATACACACAAGTATATACAGTAATTCAATCATATGCCTCTATTTTATATATACTTTCATGTCAGATGTGATTTTGCCAGATTACTATCTGCAACTAGGAAAAAAACAAATTAGGGGTTACTAGCAGAAAGGTTCAGTCTCTACTACTACACCAACATCTACTTCTAATGTCATGGCCAACATAACAAGGAGGCATTCATTTTTATAGCAACCCTCATAAGTTCTAAAAGTAGGAAATGATTTGATATGGAGCTTAAAAGTGAGTTTGTTTAAAAAAAAAAAATATATTGAGATGTATTGGAATCATTTTCAGCTTATTTCTCTTTTTAGTTCTTCCATTTAGTTATTTGATGTAATTTGTAGATTAAATAAGTAATGTGTACAGTTAATAGTTTGGAAACATAAGTATATTATTGAAATTTTAGTTTATCTGTAGTCAAAAAATTTGTTGCTCCATATTTTCTTGTTTATGCCCAACACTTTAAATATTTAACTAAACTAAAAGTAAAATTAAGTAATGATAAGAATCGAACATCTATCTTTTCCCCTTGCTACAAATGAAAACAATTATCTTAAATGTGACTAATTTTTAATATATATATATATATATAAGTGGACATTGAAGTCAACACTCAGAGGCGACAGGCTGTTTCATGCTAGATGCAATTGTCAGGCTGCCAATTACATCTAGTATGAAACAGCCTGTTGACTTCAATGTTCACTCTTATATTTACATATGCTTTGTCTCAGATATTGAGCAACTTTATTCCATATAGATAGCACACCTTAAAACTATATATATATATATATATATATATATATATTCAAACATATCTTAAAATGTATTTAACTACAGAGCTAATTGCAATTTAAAATTTTCTTTCATTTAAAATTGATTTTCTTGTATAATAAACATGTGACATTTCAATTACATCAGCAGAAGATTCTGTTACATAAAGACTGATAATTCACCCCTCTCTTATGTAGTGGATTCTTCTGGTGAATTATAACAATACATATATAGATATAGATTGCATTTTATATATGATGATTATTAAAATGATTTGTGGCAGAAGTAATTCTTCAGATGAACTTAAATCCATTTGTTTTTGTTGATATATTTGTTACCTTATAAATTATTGAAAATTTTTAATAATTTCTCTTAAATATTAAAAAAAAATGATTTATGGATCATCAAATTTAACCACTAAATTTATTTAATCATCATTCACTTACTTTTTTTTTTCTCTATATAAATTTCCCAAAATTTGATTTAGTTAGAAGTTTAATTTTGTAAGAGTTATGGGACTTGTTGCAACTTGAATGGTTTATGTAACTGGTTTTGCAAAAATAAGATCAATCTAAATATTGTATCATGTGCTTATGCTTATATATGTACGTATATAAGTCAGCAACATATGAAAATCATATTTACTTTACAGGAAAAATATTCTCTTAACATTATTTCTATACACTGAATACAACACTTCCCATTAATCAATATACAGTAAAAAATTTAATGATTGTGTCAGGCTATGGATTTATTGATCCATCTTCGTCTGTCTTCATAAAAAAAGAAAGAACAAAGCTTAGCCACAATTATTAGTTGGTTGGGGGTCATCCAGTCAAGATCAAACTGGCTACACTGTTGTTG